GTTTCTTGTTTTGTGTTTTTGTATAACTTTGATTGATTGCTTACTCGTGACATGGAATCGTTCTAGGTTGATCGGTATCAAGAACCGATGTGAAACGAGTACGACGTAAAATTTCATACACGTCAGTATTCCGGCGTTGTTCGGCACCGTCTTTTTGGCCGGAAGTTAAGTGTGAACACACGAAACACATTCTTGATTGATATAACGTCATGCTTATAGACACTGATCCCTGAAATAATTATCATATATATAATTTAAGATTATTACTCGATTACTTGTAAAAGAAGATAGGGTTAGGGTCTTTTTATTACCTTGTTTCCCATGTAACCCATCAAGCCAACTCCGACCGGTGAGACTTTCAAATTGTTGACGTGTCTTCTTAATCGCCGTCGGATCCAAACTGATACATAGATCCCAACCATCTGCTTACTCACTATTCTCACATACTTTTGACAATCTTTCACTTTCCGACACTCCTCCACCAAATCTTCCGGTACTCCATAAATATCTCCGATCGTGTCTCCTTCTTCTTCCGTCAAGGATGATTCTCTATCCGACGAATCATCGGCCAGAGTTTTCGCAGCTTCGTCCGAAGATAATGAATTGTTCTCATTCTCTTCTTTTATATCATTCCAACTCAGGTTTAGGGTTTCAAAGCTCCGTGACCGTTTCAAGTTCCTTGCGTCAGAAGCAAATCTACTAGCTCCCGCTGGATTCTCCGGTAGCTTAAACCCTAGCGTCGCATTGCTACTCAAAACTCTCCTTAGCTTCTGTTCTGATCCAACAATTTGAGGATTCTCATCTAAAGCTCTTTCAGGCCAATCCATATCCGGATTCCCAACTTGTTCGATGCTCGGTAAAGCAGTCGCAGCATCGATATACTCGTTTGTAGCTAGGTCTAACGCATGGTCCGAAGCAAGATTCTCGACCATAACATCAGCGATAACAGAGTTTGTTTGTTGTGTTAAGACAGGAGAAGACGGCGCGCTGTGAGATCTATGAAGAACGTTGTTGTTACTTGGAGACTGATCATAAACTGATTCTATCTGAGATTTGTTTAGTGTTCTACGGATTATCGATTCCCATTTCGGAATCGGACCTCGATCTTCTGCTCCGAAAACGTTTCCGGCGTTTAATGGAACCACTTCTTGAAACCTATAAAACAAAGACTCATCAAAACAGAGGAACAACAACAAATACTCTGTTTTTATAGGGTTAAAAAGTGTAGTGTGAAAAATCGTTTTGTACTTACCCGATGATGTAAATATCTGAAGGGTTATCAGTAGAAAGCCAATCTTCGATCTCGAGATCGTCGGAAGGACGTTTGCCGGCGACGTTCCATGTAGCCACCGTCACTCTATATCACCGCAGACACGTGTCAGAGAGGTATTTCACGTGGTTTTAGACAAAGAGAGAGTCGAAATTACAGAAATACCCTTACTTGATATCTTTAGTGTTTATGTATTGGACTCTTAAAGTCTCCGATTTGCCTCGCCGGTGTTTCCTATGATAACCTCTCACACCACCGTCTGAATAATTAAACCAATAAACAAAAAAGATAAATCTTTTATTTCTGAATTCGTTTATTCGATTACTAAAACAGAAACTAAGACAAAAAAAATTCAAAATCTTTACCTGAAATTTTATTGCTGTGATCAATTTCGTTTCCTCGACGACCACCATGGCAGTCTTCATAATTTACATTATCAACGTCTTTGACCAAACATACTGATAAATAAATGGACCCATTAAAAAATATCAATACTAATAACATAAAATTATAATCGAATTTTGACCGAATTTTAATATATTGTATGAAAAAGAATAATAATCACACATCCTATAGGGATTAGTCGGGTGGTAAACCACGTATCACTCTAGTTCTAAAAAAAAATTAATAAAACTCACTTTCGTCTTCGCTCTCAGGCTCTGTATCGATTTCATCTTCACTAAAATCGTAAAGTTTAGGTTTAATGTTTAACCATTTATTCATCACAATCGATGGCCAAAATCTCTGTTTTTCAT